CCCCCTTTCATACACTCTCTCTAAATAAATAAACATTTTAAAAAAACAATGAAAGAAAAAATACTGTATGATCATCTTAATAGATGAAGAAAAAGCATTTGATAAAAATAAACACATTCTTGTTTTCTTTTAATATCTATTCTCAATAGACTAGGAATAGAAGGAACTTATTTAACTGTTTAAAGGGTTCCTATGAATTTAGTAGCAAAATCTTGAAAGTTTTTCCTTTAAGCCTAGGAATAAGACAAAGATGCTCCATCATCACTTTTATTCTGCACTGAACGGGATGTCCTGACAAGTGTAATCAGACAAGAAAAAAAGAAGCAAAATGTATAACAAATGGAAAGGAGAAAACCAAAATATCCTTATTTGAAAATAACATGAGTGTGGAAATCCAAAAGAATCTACCAATAAAACATGAGAATTATTGAATAAATTTAGTAAGGCCCTGAATACAGATCGATAAAAAATTAATTGTATACATGTATCTAGCAACAAACAGTTAGAAAATGAACTTTGAAAAGGATACTATTTACAACAGTAACCAAAAAAAAAAAAAAAACCAGAAAACGTCTAGGAATAAATCTAACCAATAATATGCAAAAAATCTTTATGCAGAAATTACTGAGAGAAATGAAAGAAAACAAAATCCTTATAAGAATATGTGACGTTCATAGATTTAGGTTTCAATACTGTAAACATGTGCATTCTCTCCAAATTTCTCTATACCTTTAATCCAATTCCAACTAAAATGCCAGCGGGTTATTTTTGTGGAAATGAACAAGTTGATCCCTAATAAGTTCAAATAGCAATGTGAGCAGGCAAAAGTATTAATTCAAAAACAAAGCAATGAAGTCAGGTGTTGACAAGAATCTGAGCCAACAAGGACTGCTGATGGGAGATGCAAATTGGAACTACCAACCTGGAAAACTGCTCGGCGCTGTGTCCTGACAATCCCATAGGAATGCAAACATGGATGTACAACAGCAAAATTCATCATGGCCCGAAATGGAAAACAACCCACATGTCTATCAGTAGTAGAATGAATAAACTGTGGCACATTCATATAATTTAAAAAATGCACTACTTCTATACACAACAACATGAAGAGTCTCACAAACATAATGTGAAGTAAAAGAGGACAAATACAAATGAATATATATAGTTTGATTCCATTCACATGAAACTGAAGGAAAGTTCATTGCGATGACAGAAGCGCTGATAGCAGTGCACTGGGGTGTGGAGTAGAAGTGGGAAGGGAAATGAGTCATTCTGGGGTGCTGGTAATATTCTCTTGTTTAATCTTAACTTGTAAATATGTGCTTTATACAGTTTTCTAAGTGATTAAGCATAAAACACATTTTTTAAGATGCAAAAATAATCAGGAAGATTCTGAAGAAGGTAGAGTATGGGAAAAATCTAGATCTATAGAATATTATAATGTATTCTGGATCTACATTAATTAAAAAGAGCATGGTATTAGTAGAGGGATAAATAACAATAGAAACAAAGAACAGGCCTAGAAATGGACCAAAATGGAAAATGGAAATTCTGTACAGTATGTATATAAACAGTTACTTCTAATTTTGGTCAGTGCTAGATTTCAATAAGCAGAGTGACTAAATCAAGTTAAAATCCTGAGTTTTCCAAAGGAAGCAAATCTCCAAAAAAAATATTTAATACCATGAGTCTCCATGTAAAATGTATAGGACAAATTCCCATTATGTCTCAAAAACCAGCAGAAAAAGAAAAAAACGGACTTACCAAAAACTTTTCTTTCCTTTAAATGTGAGGAGTAGATTAAAGTTGGGGGTGGTAGCAGGGATGTGGGGTGGGTAGGGATAGCTGATTTTGTTGCTATCTGAAAAAAATCAAAAGGTGGATCACACCCTTTTCTTTATCATCTGTATTGAGTCAGAGAGGTGTTTTGCTTTGTTAAACTGGTACAGGACTGTAAAGGAATATATATCATTTTAAGTGATAGAAACCTTACCTCACACCAAAAAGTGATTTCTTGGTCTTTTTTTAAAAGCCTATTTATTTATTTTGAGAATGAGAGAGCATGCACTAATTGGGGAAGAGCAGAAAGAGAGAGAGAGAGAGAGAGAAACCCAAGCAGGATCAGCACTGTCAGCACAGAGCCCAATGTGGGGCTTAAACTCATAAACATTGAGATCATGCATGACCTGAGCTGAAATCAAGAGTTGGACAATTAACTAACTGAGCCACCCAGGTGTCCCTTGGTCTTTTTTTTTTTTTTTTTAACCATCAGTACTTTATTATGATGTATGTTCTACCCAGTAAAATTTGAAAAGAATAAAAGAAACAACATATAGGAATTGGAAAGAAAGAAACAAATTCTCATTGTTTATATGTATATCTTATCTCTGTCTACTCAGTAAACCTTAAAATTGTCTACCTCAGGTACTGAGAATACAGGAAAAAAATCATGTTTTAACTGGTATGTTGCAGAAAATTGGTAATAAATTTTTATCTTTTTGTTTCATTAAAATTAATCTACAAATTAATTTGTCATATCTTTTTTTAAAATTTAAATCCTAGCTAACATATAGTGAAATAATGATTTGAGGAGTAGAATCTAGTGATTCATCACTTGCATATAACACCCAGTGCTCATCACAACAAATGCCCTCCTTAGTGCCCATCACCCATTAGCCCTTCCCCTCACCCAGTACCCCTCCAACAACCCTCAGTTTATTCTCTGTCTTTAAGAGACTCTTATGGTTTGAATCCCTGTTTTTATTTATTTTTCTTTCCATTCCCTTATGTTCATCTGTCTTTTTAAGACAAAACTCCAAGGGTAGATTTTGCTTTGGGAGAGGTCAAAGACAGATTAAGCAGTATCATCAGGACATGGCTTCTCTTTCAGACAGCCATTTCCCTGTAATGACAAGGTGGCTAACAACAGCTCCTGGCCTGCATCCTACTTTCTCACACAGTGAAAAGGTGGGGGTGTTTGTCCCAGCATTTCCTGCGAAGGTCTCACTGTACTTCTTTGGCTCTGAATGCACCACACCTATTTCCGCACCAAACATGCTGGCTAGGGAAATGCATTGATTTGAGTGGTTTAGTCCTAAACTCTATATCCATATCTGAGCTATGGAAGTGTCGACATGTAAACTGAGAGTGGGGAAGAAGAGGGATCCCAGAGGGAAATCGGGGTGTGACCACCAAGAGGAGGCTAAATTGATGCTAGACTACAAAATGTCCCCTTTACAGTACTTGGGATGGGGACAGGAGAAGAAAAGGCTCTATGAATTTAATCTTGCATGTGTTTATTAATGTTAAAAGCTGGATAGCTTCTATGAACTGAATTTTTGTGCCCCTGACCCAAATTCATATGTTGAAGTCCGACCCCCCAGTGTGGTGGTATGTAGTGGTGGGGCTTTGGGAGCTGATTGGGTCATGACGGTGGAGCCTTCATGAATGAGATTCATGCCCTTATAAGAAGACATAAGAGAGATTATCTCTCTCCCTCTTAGCCATGTGAAGACACAGCAAGCAGGCTGCTATTTGCTAACCAGAGAGAGTACTCACCAGAACCTAATTGGCTGGCACTTTGATCTTAGACTTCTCAACCTCCATCCAGAACTGTGAGAAATAAATTTCCTTCGTTTTAGCTACTCAGTCTATTGTATTTTGCTATGACAAGTCAAGCGGATTAAGACAGTAGCCAAATCTCAGTTTCTGCAAAAGTAATGATGAGGTAGCACAGTGTTTCCTATCCCCCCTATTTTCTCCCATGGTTTTAAGGTTTTGGTGGTTATTTGTGTGACAGAGTTTATTAAGATGAGCAGGCCTAGAATGTGAAATGAGTCCTCAGGATAATTGATGATCGCTGCTGCTGAAGAAAGACCATCTTGTGCCACAGGAGCTTTGTCTTTTTTAATCCTTTATTTCTATTACTGGCTTTAAATAATGTTTCTGACAAGATTCTCTTTTCTTTCTGTCAACTGTCAGTAAGCAGGTATTGGGCATTATTTGTGAGGCTGTAAATACATTACATAAAGAAATAATGAGTCCTTAAAAAGTCAAGAGAAATGCCTCCAGAGACGTTTACCTAACATGGTGATTTATGTAGGTCTGAGAATGAAGTTTCAGAAACTTCCAAATGAAAATTCTGGAACATAAACTAAAGTCCCTTCCAAATGTGTGATTTTTGTAGCCCCTGGACACATTTCCCTTTTACTTCTAATGTGGAAGCTGGAGAACCTTTTTCATGTTCAACCTAAATTGTCTAGTTAATGATCTAAGAATAACTCTTGGGAGCATCCCTCTGCATAGCGTGTTATTACTCCATTCCTCTGACTGAATTTGATGTATCTATTGTGTTCTCATTGCATAAACTGGTCCCTGGGATTAATCATTTTCTTTTTACCAGCTACAGATTGTAGACATTTAATGGATATACCTACATTAGTCAATTTAATGACTCTCATTGTCTAGGGTTTGAAATATACTGATCATTCTGATGTTGAAATATAACTGACACTCATTCTTATTCCAAGTTTCCCAAGTTTGTCCCTCCTGCCTGCCTGAGGAAGGAATTTAGCTAAAACTTTTCAAAAAAAGTTCAGGGCCTAGGAACTCAAGCACATCTACTGAGTCGTGTCAGAGGCAGCTAAACCATCTTTGCATCCTTTCCTAAGGTACACCTTAAGCAATCACATAGTTTCAGTTTTAGAACAAGGAAGTGTCTTTCATCCTGGTAGGAACTGTCCTATGGCAGATCATTCTGGTTAATATACCCAGATGCATCTCTGGCTGCCTTGCGGTTGGACAGGAAGATGGGATGTTGACATGGCTACCACGTCTGTCACTGGGTAGAGAGCCAGAGTAGAGTAAAAGGGCTGGACGGCGGGGCAGGGAGGCTGCTCACACAAATAAAAGAGAACCATCCACTCACCAAAACAGTCACAAAATAGTGGATTCAAACCTGAGTCATAATTAATGGTTTTTCATTTCTGTTTTGTTTTCAGTTGTTTGAATTTATGAACTTCTTGGCCGAGAATGTCATCTTCTGTTACATGGGCCTGGCACTGTTCACGTTCCAGAATCATATCTTTAATGTTCTTTTTATACTTGGAGCCTTTGTATCCTTTGAAATACAGAACATGGAGTGATGAGGGAAAAGAACAAACTACTTACTTTTACTGATTATTCTGTTAAAATGTTAAAGGCATTTCCTCAAGTTTATTGCAAGCCTCAGATTCCTGGTAGATATGTAATTTCTAGTTAGGAGAGAAAAGATCCTCAGAAATTCAGACCTTTACTAAGTGCTTATGGTTCAAGATAAGAAGTTTGGAAAATACTGAAAGAAATAAAGGAGGAAAACTAAAGAAAAATGAATACTCAAAAATAAATATTCAAAATATATTTATTTTCTGAATATCCAAAGTATGTTTTAAGTTATAAATCATTTACATAAAAATATGTCAATTCACTCTTTACAGAGATATACTTAATCTGCATTAGAGTGTGTCAGAATATAGCCAACATTATTAAGCTTTAGAAATATTTTCATTACAAGATGATAAAGTCTTTTTTCCAGTGAAGACTTTGAAAATAGGATACACAGAGCAAAAATCAGATGAAATTAGCATGATGGATGTGCTTAATCATTGAATACATGTAAGTTTATTTTACTTAGATAGCCAATAACAGATAAAATATAGACCTTACTTTTAATGCAAGACTTTTGGAGCTCTAGGCCTGAGGTTTAAGCATTCCCCAGAGGAATGAATGTCTATCTGAAAGAGTAGTGGGTTTCTGTCCGCAAGGACAGTCAGTAACTGTTGTCCTTCTTTCCACTTGGAAACTGGGCAGATGCCCTATCAGATCACAGGCAGGTGATCTTAATGGCCAGGAGAGCTGACCCCTCTTCTCTAAGCCCTGCTGCAACTAAGCACATGTGTTTGCCTTTTGTCCTCTTTTCACTGAACATTCAGCTAAACTCCCCAATCTCATCTAAACCTGCATCTTAGACAGAATCTTCCTCTTCCCAAATAACTCCATCCCATTTAAGGACAAACTAGGATAGACAGACTATCAGGACAGGAGTCCTGGGTGACAAAAGGGGACAGATGACTCCCACCAATATTTTCCTAGATTTTAACCTACAAAGCTTGGGCTTCAGCACAATGCCTCCTAAAGCAGCAGCTGTATTATACGTCTAGAAAAGCAATTCCTCTCAAAATCAAATCAACTAAAGGAAAAAAGGAACTGAAACTTGCTAGATCCAGGGAGTATAAACTGATGGAAAGTAAGATGGCAATCATGAGCAGAAGTACATTTATCCTTTCTAAAGTGCTTCTTGAGAAGACAATGCCACAGCCTCTGAACGGTCTCTGCCTCACATTTGGCGGCAGAGTTGAGCAAAGAGTCAGTCATCAGCAACATAAATGTGATGAGAAAATTTCCAGTGATTGAAATGGTATGGGGCTAACAGTTCTAAACCAAGTAGATATTCAAAGAAAAGTAGAGTTCTCTATTATTTCTGAAAAGAAATTGACATTTAAAGATGAGTTTTAGCAGCAAATTGGACATACACGTATTGACATATTTGTCCCTGTTTTCTGGGTCATAAAGTAGAGAAGCTTAAGAACATAACAGTGACAGCTCAAGGACTCGCACCCTCAATTGTAGCATTTTCCTCAGCGTTTCTCTGTGCTTATCTATAGCTGGCGATTTTTCTGGCCAGAGCCTGAAATATATACCCCCTCTCCTTCCTCCTGAATCTGGGCCGAAAACAGAAGATCCCCTGGAATTTTCAGCACATGATGATGTTTTCAGGTATGTGAACTGTGATGCATTAGCGCTACTGTTGTCTCATACTTTTGCAGCGCATGGAAAGCGGAAGGCATAGAGACCTCCTAGTTCTCTTACCCCCATGGCATCTACTACTCTTTACCCCATCGTTACCTAGTGCCGTGCCAGTACTCCATAAGTTCTGAGCAACAGGGGGATTTCTCTTTCCAAAAAGAAAATAAAGCTGAATATCTGCCAGAAACTAACCTAGAATAGGTACTAGACTTTTTCCTGGCTTATTTCAGATCAATTTTCATATCAGGGAATTTGCAGTCATTTTACAAATTGCATACTTGAAGGTAAACAGTGTGTAAATGGTGCCACCTTTGTCTAGTGATAAGACTTCTTACAGGGGTGCCTGGGTGGCTCAGTAGGTTAAGCATCTGACTTCAGCTCAGGTCATGATCTCACAGTTTGAGTTCAAGCCCCACATCATGCTCTGTGCTGACAGCTCAGAGCCTGGCGCCTGTTTTGGAGTCTGTGTTTTCCTCTCTCTCTCTGCCCCTCCTCTGCTCTCTCTCTCTCTCTCTCTCTCTCTCAAAAAATAAATAAATAAACATTAAAAAAAAGATTTCCCCTTAGAATCCCTGTTCCTTTCCTATGCAAAACTCCAGGAACTTCCCATAGTTAATACGCAAGTGAATCATATCTAAGTATGTTCAGTTATTCATTGAGAAAATAGGTATTAATTGTACACTCACCTAGTGCCCAGAGCAGTTCTAAATACTGGTAGATGTAAGTGACAAGCTCTCTGCTCTCAAAAAGCTTATGTTCTACTTATTTAAACCATACCTGAAGGTTCCTTATTCCAAAAGAAAATATAAACCAAATGAATTTTCTGACCCTGAACTGCTTTGGAAATTGGAATTTATTTCTGTTCAATCAATTTTTCTACCACCAGTCTTTCCTTATTCAGAAACTTTTTTCTTACATGCCTTATATGTGTGAATACACTTACATTACCCTCAGGAGCAGTTCATGGAAATATATGTGAGAATATAATAAACACTCTCAAAATACAGCAAACAAAATTTGGGGTATACAAGGCAATATGGAAAAACTGAGGGAAACTATCATTTATTGAATATCTACTATTTGCCACTCACTATAGAGCAATTCTATATTAAACAACTTTGTAGATGGAGAAACTAAAGTTCAAGACCTCACAGAGGTTATGTAACTTGGCCAAGGACAAAAGCATTCCTAAACCCAGGTCTGTGAGACTTCACTTCAAACCCATCCAAGTGTCTAAAAATCCACGTTTTCAGTAGTACTAAAGTAAAAGGCTTGTTTCACCTTCAGTTACATTCTGTCTCTGCCCTTCCTCCGCTCACTTTCTCTCTTCTCTCTCTCTCTCAAAAATAAATTAAAACATTTTTTTAAAAAAGTCTTTCTGAGAACTTTTTAAAAAAATTTTTTATGCTTATGTATTTTTGAAAGACAGAGAAAGACCAAGCACAAGTCAGGGAGGGGCAGAGAGAGAATGAGACACAGAATCTGAAGCAGGCTCCAGGCTCTGAGCTGTCAGCACAGAGCGTGACACGGGGCTTGAACCCACGAACCGCGAGATCATGACCTGAGCTGAAGTCGGGCACCAAACCCTCTGAGTCACCCAGGCACCCCTTACTGAGACCTTTTATGAGCAATATTTTGAGACTCAGGTCCAGAGCAAGGTAGGATAGGCATTACCAGTTTCTTATTGCAGATTAAAAAGAGAGAGAGAGACAGAGTGAGGGAGACATGGAGAGATTGGTTATCTTGTTCACAATCTCACAACCAATTAGAGATGAAAATGAGACTTGAACCCAACCTCTTGTCCCCTAATTTAGAGCCTTCTCACCTGCATGACACTACAGATTTAACCACAAGGTCAAGAGAATTAAATCAAAACCATGCCCTTCCTAACATAGGCCAACCCCAACATGTCTAACATGTCTCTCATGCAAACCCAGTCCTCAGCCATTTCACAACAAATCAAACCTTTGGGTAACACCATTCCCAGCCATTAGTTCAAGTTGTACACTGTGCCTCCAGACCCCCATCAGAGTGTAGGAAGCACCAAGTGAGTTCATCATGTGCAGGGAAGTATTTTTCTTCAGAAAAGAATGCTCTAGACTCAGCTTTCATTTTCTGTATGAATTTTGGCATGTGCTATCTTCACTCAGGATCTAAGGTTTTAACTGTACTTTCCAGGAAATAAAGAATTTAAAATGTCAACTTAAGGTAACGTAAGCCAGAGGAGAAAGTAAAGAAGCAGATCACATAACACACTGTCTAGCATTTTCAGGGTGTATGACAACAACACCTGCAGAAACCATAAGAAAAAGCCAGTCTCTTTAAAGGATATTTGCTTTCAGAGAGCCTGGATGGCTCAGTCAGTTAAGCATCTGACTCTTGATTTCAGCTCAGATCAGGATCTCAAGGTTCATGAGATTGAGCCCTATATCCGGCTCTGCACACTGATTGCAGAGCCTGCTTGGGATTCTCTCTCTCCTTCTCTCTCTGCCTGCCCTCTGCTCTCTCTCTCTCAAAAAATATATAAAATAATAAAAAAAAATTAAAGAATATTTGCTTTCTAATATAGCCTAGTGTTAACTATGCCTAGAGCAGTTTTGGTTATCCAGTAAGAAGTATGGCTTTAGTAGCCCTCTGGCAGAATCCAGTTATCCATGCTTCAATAATATGGAGACTTTCTTTACATAGCTCAAAACATTTTTCAGAGTCCTTTCGAGATGTAAACAATGACCCTTTATCTAAAATGGGAGTATGAACTTATTTACACATTTACTCATTCACAGTCTCCAGCTATTCATTCAGCAGACGTTCAATGACACACTCTTGGGTAGGTATTTAGGTGAACAAAGACAAAGATATGGACCCTGCCCTTAGGAGACTTGCAGCCTAGAGAGAGCTTGGCTTTGTATGGACTAAATTTGGTTCACTAAGACAGTGCACCTCACGTGGTTCAAAATCTAGTCAAGGGGCACCTGGGTGGCCAGTTAAGCATCCCACTCTTGATTTTGGCTCAAGTCATGCTCTGGCAGTTCATGAGTTCAAGTGTTCTGTGCTAACAGCTCAGAGCCTGCTTGGGATTCTCTCTCTCCCCTCTCCCCCTACTCATGCTCTCTCTCTCTCCAAATAATTAAATAAACTTAAAAAATATTCAAAATCCAGTTAAATCAGAACTAGAACTTTATCTTAGTCAATTACACCTATCATCTAATAAATCCTTTTCTATCATCTTTACCCTCACCTTATTCATACCCTTTTGGCACTGGTCAGGAGAATAGCTGGCAGTGCCTGCCAAACAGAAGTGGATTCACTTGTAAAGCTAAGGAAGCTTAAGCCTCAGGCTTCCTCATTCACATCGGCCCCTTCTAAGATTCTGGGAGGGGCCCTAGGAGTGTGTCCTGTTGTCATATAAAGTTGGTAAAAGATATTCTTTGTATTAATTTTCTTATTTGTTAACATTTTTTATTTATTTCTGAGAGGGAGAGAGACAGTGTGAGCAGGGGAGGGTCAGAGAGAGAGGGAGACACAAAATCCAAAGCAGGCTCCAGGCTCTGTCTGAGCTAACTATCAGCACAGAGCCCGACGTGGGGCTCGAACCCATGAACCGTGAGATCATGACCTGAGCCAAAGTCGGACCCTTAACCGACTGAGCCACCTGGGCACCCCTGTATTAATTTTCTTAAAGAGAGTGCCCAGATATATAAATTTCCCTGGAGATGAAAGTATATGAAGGGATCCCGCTGTTTATCACTCATCTCCTGGGACTGAGTGGGGCCTGCAGTGAGCATTGAAACAAGGGCTTGGAGCTGAGTAGATAGCAGTGGTTTTGAGTAAATTTCATATTGTTCATGGGTTAGGGCACCACTGCTGCTGCCACCATCTACCCCAGCCTCTGCCTTTTGCCACCACAGCCAATGAAACGTAGGTGAAGCAACTGTCAGAACCTGGATTGAATTCCTCACCTGGCACAGACTAGTAATTTATACACACAAAGACTTGGAACCTGAAAATGAATGAAGTTCAGTAGTGGTCTCTCTGCCTTGGAAAGCTTTCAGTAATGCAGATTCTCTTTCTGGTAGCTAGGTTGCAGTTTAGAGTCAATTGGGGGAAGTTTACCCTGAGACATTTTTAAGAACTTCTTTAAATTCAAGGCAAGGAGTTCGGAACTGCTTTGGTGTATCGTGTGACACCCAGCACAAAGGGCTTAAGAGGAACGCTAAGCTCCCCTGAAACTGTTCCTGGTGCCCTGGAGCAAAGCCCTAGTTAATGCCAGGAGGGAGCTGCCCCGCCCCAGCTCTCAGTTCCCTTGAAACCAAAGAGGCAGAGTTCCGTGGTTTAAATTAAAGGAGATGTGCTTCGCACAAATTAGCTTTCCTATTGATGTGGTGCATATTACAAAGATCAGGCCTCTTGTTTTAATTCAAATCCATGTACTGTAATTTTTATTTAATTTAAAACTAAATAAGAGCCGGGAGTTGCTGGAAGGAGGGAAAATGCCAAGCCCAATTGAGCCTTGGCAGCCTTCCTGAAACCACTGTGACTTGGAGACTGTGGCCTGCTGGGCTGCAGAGACTGTGTCGAGCCACTGTGCTCATCTGAACGGGGCGGGTAGTGATGGGGGAGTTCTGAAGTGCTTGAACAGGGCAAAGGAGCCTGACAATATGTCAGAGAACATGCTTCTCCAGTTTGTCCATTTCTGCTCTTCTTGGGAGAGACATTGAAACCCTGATGTATGCTGTTGCATAAACTAGGAAGAGTTTTAACCAGGACAGTGTGGCCACAGTGTCCCGATATAATATAAAACCTCATCCATGAGCTCATACTGCCATGAAGACAGCAGTGCTAGTGTCTCTAGGCTTTGCTGCTTAATGTTGTTGTTGCTCATTTGGTTGTCCACCAGTGCTCTTTATTAGCCTTTGAATAGCTGCCAGCATCAAAGGATTGAGAGAAGCCATGGAAGAAAAACTTAAATT